TAACAAATACTGTTTAGGCTGACTTCAGTTTCTTTCAAAATCATCTACAAGTTTTAAGAATTCAAATCTGACTTTACAATTAAGATTTAACCTTCAATGACCTTTTTAAGGTAAAAAAGGTTATTAAAGGTCAAAAAGGTCTTTTTTCAACTTGCTTCAAATTGACCAAATTTTTTTTTAAAAATCATCTACAAGTTATGAGAAGTTCAAATCTGATTTTTAGATTTAAGATTCGACCTTCAATGACCTTCTTATGGTAAAAAAGGTCAAAAAGGTCTTTTTTCAACTTGCTTCAAATTGATCAATTTTTCAAAATCATCTACAAGTTCTCAAAAGTTCAAATCTGACTATAGATTTGACCTTCGACGACATTCTCAAGGTCAAAAAGATTTGAGCTTTAATGATCTTCTCAAGGTCAAAAAGGCCTTTTTGCAACTGACCAACCAAATTGACCAATTTTTTTTCAAAATCATCTACAAGTTTTCAGAAGTTCAAATCTGACTTTAGATTTGAGATTTCACCTTCAATGACATTCTCAGGGTAAAAAGGTCATCTACAGAGCTCTCAGAAATTCAGATCTGACTGAGATTGAACTTATAATATTGTGCGCAATTACGTGGTGACATTTTGTCATGTTAATGCCTTGTATACAAGTTGCAAGACATATGCCTTGTATTAAAGCTTTTTTACTAAAACTAAAAATGATATTGCATTGATACATAAAATTACATCTTGCATCAAGACCCTGGACATATCCCCTTCATATATTGCGACATTTTGACATCTTTCAAATTGATGAAAATTTGATTAAAGAGATATTTTTTCTTTTGTTTCAACTCTGTAGATTTTCTGGAATCTCTTAATTCTTATTTTTCAATTTTGTGTGGTCACCCTGTAATCTGGCAATAAAATGTATCAATATGAATCAATATGAGTAACTAATTAAGTGTAGTGCTTATTCTTTTATTTTCCCAAAAATTGTGATATACCATTGGAAAATGGAAAAATAATAAATTTTTTATTTTATACTTTCTTATTTGATTTTGTCAGTCAAACCCCAAAAAGTGTTGTGACCTAAAATTTTGTTGAAATGTTATAATTGTTTCATTGAAATTGAAAAATTATTTCTGCAAATGTCAAACTATCTTGTTTTTGTATGTAAAATTGTTAAATTAACAGTCCATTAAAACACATGGGTTCCATTATTTGAAGCTGGATATACATTTATGAATTAAATATTCATGAATAAGAAACACTGTATATTCAGTTAAGTAATTGGCCATTACAGTAATAAGTAACACTGGCTAATCAATATTTTACATAAAAATAATATGTTTGGGGACTTTTTAAATGACATTGATAACGTAAACATAAATTGATTAATTTAAGTGCATTCTATCGACCTATTCAAACAATTGTTCTTAAGGATTTGAGGGATATGTTGCTATTACCAAGGATTCATAAAGATTCCACAATAATTAAAAACTTATTCTAAAATCAGAGGGTTTCATTTGTTTGCACCACCCTGTATATTTAGTTAAGTAAATTACTATTGTATGTAAAGGCTTATATGAGTTTTTAGCACAATTGTATAACTTAATGCAGATCATCATGAAGAAAAAATGGATAATATTGGCGTTGATTCTATGCATACTAGGTCTTTGTGTTTTAATCAATCTTGAAGGTGACAGTTGGATGTTTCTCACAAAAAATCTCATCGATGAAAATGATGACAAATTAGAATTAGTGGCAGTAAGGACATATGGCAATATTGTTAAGTCCAGAACAGATGGATTGAACTGTATGGGAATACTGCAGGGTAATAAAACAGCTATTGATATAGCTGATAAAATTGTGAAAACTACAAATGCTGATCTTGGAAATATTGAGGAAACTGACTTTAACAGTATGGTTCTTAATATGACAAAAGATTGTAAAGCCTACAAAGATGTTTTATATTCCAACTCCTATTCACACATGGATGAAATCCAGTTTCCAATTGCTTATGCACTTAAAATACACAGATCAGTTTTACAATTTGAAAAGCTATTTCGACAGGTTTATGCTCGTCAAAATATCTACTGCATTTACATTGACATGAATTCACCGGAAAGCTTCCATAATGCAGTTAAAAGTGTTGTGAGATGTTTCGATAACGTTTTTATTGCATCAAATCTGGAACATGTGGTTTATGCAAGTATCACTCATGTAAGGTCTGATCTACAATGTATGAAACAATTAGTTAATTCAACAGTAGATTGGAAATATTATCTCAATGTTGTTGGGCAAGAGTATCCTCTAAAGACAAATCGTGAAATTGTACACATTCTAAGACGTCTTAATGGAAAGAGCAGTATAGAATCATACCCACACACTAACGTATGGCGGTTTGCCTCAAAATTCAAATTAAATGATAAAGGAGATGCTTTGATACCAACCTCTGAGAAAAAAGACCCATTTTACTTGAAATGGGAAATGTACAAAGGTAGTGCATATGGGGTTTTCGCTCGATCATTCGTGAATTATATTCTCAATGACAAAGAAGCAGGGGAATTCATTGATTGGTTAAATGATACATCTGCCCCAGAAGAGACTGTTTGGTCAACTCTAATTCGTCACCACAGTGGTCCAGGCCGTTTGAACGTAACTGTTAGACACAATCAAAATCACCAGCTGTCAAGGGCAGTTATTTGGGCGTGGGATCCTCAAAAATGTCATGGCAAATTTGTGAGAACAGTATGTGTGTATGGAATCCAAGATTTCTCTTGGTTAGCAAGTCAACCAAATATTTTCGCAAATAAAATAGATGCTTTCCAAGACAGTGCTATAATGGAGTGTTTGGATGAATGGCTCAAACTCAAGAATGAACATTCTGATCCTGTCCTCACATTAAACTGGCATTACTTGAATAATCTACCACAAGTATCAGGAAAACAGTAAATAACACTCTCAGCCATAATAGTGCTATGATGAAGAAATCCTAAGGGCTGCATCTACTGTACAATCAGCAGGCCTGTCAACTGTCCCGCAATTTGCGTATTTGTCACGCATTTGCTGAAGAATTTGAAGTCACGCCAGTTATTTTTGCGTGACAGAAAATGTCACGCAAATACGCATTTTACCTGGTAATTGTCAAGCAAAAATGTTTCTGTAGAACAATTTCTAAAAAAGATCGTCTACACAGCAAAAATATGAACGCCGGAAAAAAATGTACGCATTTCGTTCGGACTTTTCACGCGAATTACGTATATGTCACGCATTCCGTTCGAGATTTTTCGTACCTCCCCCCCCCCCCCCCCCCCCCCCCCCCCCCCCCCCCCCCCGTTGACGGATGTTTGAAACGCGAGCGTAGCGAGCGCGAAAAATTTGAGGTGTTCAAAATTTGGCAAGATGTAATAAAATTTAAACCAAGGTGTTCAAAATTTGGATCAAGGTGTTCAGATTTAGACCAAGGTGTCCACATTTTGAGGGGAGGTGTTCAACATTTCCAAGTCACTCATGTTAGGTGTTCCCAAGTTGACAGGCCTGAATCAGTGTTACATAAAAACTCACCCATAGACCTGCATCTAGTTTGATTTCATCTGGTCATATGTCTTAATTTAACATGGTAACTGGTTTGCAAATCAGTGTGATCAGTAGGTTTGGAATCTTTGTGAGACACAATGGGTTAAATACTCAGAGTAGCTGTCATTGCACAGTCATATATGACACAACCAATCCCTAATATAATTCATAGAACACGTAGGAATTGTATTACAGAGTACTGTACATTTAAACTGATTTGAAATAAACTTAAACTTGAAATACAGTGGTACCATTTAAAAACTATTTTGTAAAGTTGTGTGTTTTGTTGCCATAATTTTATCTCATCTTCCATTGACAGGCTGTGAATAAACATGGGCTTGCCTCATGCACAGGCATGAATGACCTTGACCTGTAACCTTCAATAGCTGACCTTTATTGACCTAATATTCACTTTGCATGGGTGAACTTAACCTTTATTGTTGACATTGTAAGATTGTCCCTAACCTCTAATGTTAATGCTTCAGTGCTTTGCTCAATGGTTAGTCCCCAGCAGCTAAATTAAAACTGCTACCAAATTTAGTGGAACAACAATATGAATTTCTCTGCTATAGGTAAGATGTGTCGTAGAGAATGGAACGTCCACAATTGATCTCTCGCCACTGATAAAATCAACTGGTTACCACACTGCACTGCAATCTTTGACTTCAGGCACCAATGATAATGCTGCATATTACATTAATATATGCAGGTACTGTTTGTTTGTTAGATGGAAAAAATCTCATGAAAGTATTTTAAAGAAGAATAAGTGTTCTCCGTCTCAGGAGAATATTGCCGAAACAGTGTTTGTTGCCCAGTGAAGGTGGCATTTATCCCTGCTTTAATAAAGTAAATGCCAATTAAAACTATTGATATTTTGACCCTGGAACACCCTAGAAGACCTTGATTGTATCTAATTCCCATCAAATCTGTCATTTAATTAGCAACTGCTACACAGACATTTTTACTGAATTTTGAATAGCTGAATAATAGATTAAAGTTGCTGTACAAATTAAATCTTAGACAGTTTGATATTTTGACATTTTGAGCATTGTCTAAGTTCTAGAGGACCTACCTGTTCGAGTACGTTCAATGAAGTTTGTAAATAGATCCTAAACGGTTCTTAGTAGGTCCAGTCCGTTCTTACACAGTTGAAGCCCGTTTTCGAGAACGTAGTGAGAACTAGTTTGGTGTGATAGTAGGGTTAAATAGCTAATTGACTATTGATTTCATGTAATGTAACGCATTTTGGGTTTTTATTATGTCACAAAGTGGTGACATATTTTTATGGTCTCCATTTTCTTATGTCACCACCAAAAAGCGGTGATCGGCGGTTGGCAATCGGCGATTGGTGGTTGGCATCTGTAACAATTTCTTAAAACTTCCAATAACTTAACAAATACTGTTTAGACTGACTTCAGTTTCTTTCAAAATCATCTACAAGTTTTCAGAGTTCAAATCTGACTTGACAATTAGGATTTGACCTTCAATGACCTTTTTAAGGTAAAAAAGGTTATTAAAGGTCAAAAAGGTCTTTTTCAACTTGCTTCAAAATGACCAAATTCTTTTTTCAAAATCATCTGCAAGTTATGAGAAGTTCAAATCTGACTTTTAGATTAAAGATTCAACCTTCAATGACCTTCTTGTGGTAAAAAAAGGTTTTTTTCCAACTTGCTTCAAATTGACCATTTTTTCAAAATCATCTTCAAGTTCTCAAAAGTTCAAATCTGACTATAGATTTGACCTTCAATGACATTCTCAAGGTCAAAAACAATTGACCTTCAATGAACTTCTCAAGGTCAAAAAGGCCTTTTTGCGACTTGCTCCAAATTGACCACTTTTTTTCAAAATCATCTACAACTTTTCAGAAGTTCAAATCTGACTTTAGATTTGAGATTTCACCTTCAATGACATTCTCAGGGTAAAAAAGGTCTTTATTTCAAGTTGTTTCAAATTGACCATTTTTTCAAAATCATCTACAGAGCTCTCCGAAATTCAGATCTGACTAAGATTGAACTAAAAATATTGTGCGCAACTAGGTGGTGACATTTAGCATGTTAATGCCTTGTATACAAGTTGCAAGACATATGCCTTGTATTAGAGCTTTTTTACTAAAACTAAAATGATATTGGACATATCGCCTTCATATATTGCAACATTTTGACATCTTTCAGATTGATGAAAATTTGATTGAAGAGTTATTTTTTTCTTTTGTTAGACTCTGTAGATTTTCTGGAATCTCTGAATTCTTATTTTTCAATTTTGTGTGGTCACCCTGTTAGCTGGCAATAAAAATGTATCGATATGAATCAATATGAGTAACTAATTTGTACTACTTATTCTTTTATTTTCCCAAAAATGTGATATACCTTTGGAAAATGGAAAAATTATAAATTTTTTATTTTATACTTTCTTATTTGATTGGGTCAGTCATACACCAAAAAGAGTTGTGACCTAAAAAATTTTCTTTTCATTGAAATTGAAAAATTATTTCTGCAAATGCAAAACTATCTTGTTTTTGTATGTAAAATTGTTGAATTAACAGTCCATTAAAACACATGGGTTCCATTATTTAAAGCTGGATATACATTTATGAATTAAATATTCATGAATAAGAAACACTGTACATTCAGTTAAGTAATTGGCCATTACAGTAATAAGTAACACTGGCCAATCAATATTTTACATAAAATATAATATGTTTCGGGACTTTTTAAATGCCATTGATAATGTAAACATAAATTGATTAATTTTAGTGCATTCTATCGACCTATTCAAAAAATTGTTCTTAAGGATGAGGGGTTTGTTGCTATTAACAAGAATTCATAAAGATTCCACCATAATTAAAAACTTATTCTAAAATCAGACGGTTGCATTTTTTTTTTTTTTTTTTTTTTTTTTTTTTTAATATATTTATTTATTCACAGTAAAACATTTTGTTTACAGTATATTTGATTTCTTAGTCACTTATATAAATACATAATACTTATTGATTATGAATGGTACGGGGGCACCAGTATTATATGAAAAATAAAAATAGCTTAAAATGTGAGTGGTCTTCAGTTTTCTTCATTTTTTGTATACATCCTGAGTTTTGTCCATAGAATGTCATGTGTTTTATTTTTTGCGCATGTACTTTCTATAAGTTCATCATTTGTTGCATAGTTTCTCCATTCTGTCATGTTGGGGCGGTTCTTTTTCATTTTACACTTGTAGATATATGTTTTTTGTTTCAGGTGCAGTAAGATGTCTTCAGGTTGGCTGTTTGTTCCAAGAAGAAAACTATCTCGTTTCGGGATATCTTCTTTCAATATACTGCTGCATTGTTTTAGGAATTCTTTTACAACTACGCAGTCATATAATCCATGTTCTATCGTGTCCAGTTCCTCCTTACACAGATCGCAGATTGGGGAAGATACGTTGGGTATCTTCATTTCAAATAAGCCTTTGTTGAAGTATATGATTCTCGATATGAGCTTGTATTGGAAACAAATATGTCTGATGTTAACTGTTAGTTTCCTTGTGTTTAGGTATATTTTTTTCCAGGTTATATTCCGGTTTTGTAGCTTTTCTTCCCACTTCTCCTGTGTCGTTATTGCTGGGTTTAGTATATTGTTCTTTTTTAGTAGGTATTTGTATGTCATCTTGTTTGGTGACTTTGTGAACCATTCCTTAATGCTTGGCTCCGAGTCTTGTGTACTTTTGTCCTTCATTCGATCTTTCCATTCTTTTGGTATTGCTGATGTCACTTTTATGACATCCAGAAAACATATGGTTTGAAAGTTGTACTTTCTGATGATCTGTTCTCTTGACATTGGTTTATCTTTATCGAATATATCTTGAATGGTGTGAATACCATGTTCTTGCCATGTTTTGAAATTCATCACCTGTCCACCTGATTTTATACAGTCATTGTTAATGTTGGATTCTTTGGGGCATTTTATTTGTCTTGTTGATTCAAACTTTAGGTTACACCAGTTTTTGTAGCAGTGCATTAAGGAATTCAGTTGGAGCCTATTTATCTCTTTGTTGTCTTCTTTGAGATTATACTCCCATATTTTTTCTTCATTTAAGTTCTTGATATAATTTTTCCATATGTTTTTCCATTTCCCTTTACAGTTTTCATCCATTAGTTTCTTGATCCATTTAAGGTTTAAGTTGCGTATATATGTTTTAATATGAATCATTTCGAGGCCTCCCTCTTCATATGAGTTCATAAGGACCCTTCTTTTAATTTTGTCTGGTTTATTGCTCCAAATGAATTTAAAGAGGATATCTTCAATTTCCTTGATAGTGTTTTCTGGTGGGTTGAGTATGGAGGACATGTATGTAATCTGTGCAATAAGCAGGGCCTTTGTAACAGCTATCTTTCCTATAATGGTTATGTTCCTTGGGGTCCAACTTTTTATAATGTTATTTATTCTCAGAATGGCTTTTGGAAAATTCAGATCGTTAATATCTCTCCCGTCCAGCGGTATAGTAATTCCCAGAACATTTATTTCATCTCTCTTGATGGCAAGATTCAAGGTGTGACAGTCTTCTTCCGTTTTGTCTTGATCTACGTTGCTTCCAATTGTTGCTATTTCTGTTTTGGTGACATTGATGTTAAGTCCGGAACAAGCTCCGAAAGTTTTAAAGATATCTAGTGCTTTTTTTAGTGATTGGGTGTTTTTTAGCAAGAGGCATGTGTCATCCGCATATTGCGATATCTTTGCTTGTTCTCCTGGTATGTTCACTCCTTCTATGTCCTTGTTAACGCGAATATTTGTTCCTAGAATTTCAACACAAATTATGAAAAGGTAAGGGCTAAGTGGGCACCCTTGCCTCACTCCTCTTTCTAGAGAAAAGTAGTTTGATGAGTAGCCATTGTTCATGATGCAACTTTCTATTGATTTGTAAAAAGTTTGAATCCATTTTATTATTGAGGGGCCAAATCCAAAGTATGAAAGTGTTTTTTCTATAAAAGAC